CTAGTTCTCGTAGAACACCGCTGACCATTCCAATTCACCGGTAAATATGACCTCAAGGTTCATGAACTTGTTCATCTCCTCCCTGTCAGTCTGCAAAGGTAGCGGGCAGGAAAACGAGAAGGCAATAGGCTTTCGTTTTACATATGTTCAGATGCGAGCCCGTCCAGAGAGCATTGGAGATCGATTTTGAAAGATGAGGAAAAAAACAAAATCGTCCGCAAACCTCTCGTCTCGACTTCTTCGACTCTGACACGGATACTCGTGACCTTGGCTGTGCCTGACTGTCATATCCTTGCACAACACAAAAGAGAGAGATGACAGAACGAACCTTTAGCGGAGACTGTCAATTTGGTTGCCAGTAACCAATATTAACGCAGGGCATGAACAGAATAGATATGCATAGCTATCCATACAGATAGACGTACCATAGAAATGCAAAATGGCTTGTAGAATAATGTTTTTTCACGTCTACCCCTGCTTTGTAACTCGGCATTGTTATACTTTAGGGATCTTCATTTTACGTTAAGTCGTAACTGCACTTTAAATGACTTTGTTTGACTTTTGTTATCGATTTTAAAAATCGAAACGCCACATGCTCACAACTCTAATGGATCGGTTTCTGAAAAGTGCTGCCGACGTTCGCTAGCGGCAACTCTTAGATCGAAAACGTTTTTTATTTTTGTCACTGTCTCTTTTTTTATTGTTTATGATGATGCTTAAGCGGCTAGGGTGGACAGCGAACCTTTTCGCCATTTACTTGAACAGATGGTTTACGGTGTTTAATTATCTCGTATAGGCAACAGTAAAGAATACTGCAAAAAACGAATGGTTTTTAGACTATTGTGACATATTCTAAAATATTATATTCATTTTCGTTAATGGTTGAAACTATTTGGCCATTCAAGCAGTATTTCAGGATATAAACCTGCAGTGGTGGTGCAATATTAATAATTGATACCGCGTAAATACTAGGAATCTGGCGGATGTAGGTAACAAACAGAAAGGCGACAAAGGCAGGACAACTAAAAACTAAATATCCTCATATTAATGTTCGTGAAAAGAGCTTGAATTTAGGTCTTACTCTGCCTTTGGCTAATATGAATATAATGAATGCACCGTGAAGGATTTTGTGCTTGATACACAACATGCCCATATCTTTCACCGTAGAAGAGCAGCAACAACTGCACGTTAAGCA